AGCACAGTTTTACTGAAGCTTGGTACATTCTATGACCCTTCGGGAACCTTATTGTCAAATACTTTCACCACAGGTGAATTTGTCGTGTATATGGCAAATGAGGCGTGAACTGAAAAACAAAGAAGCACCATATAACAGCCTTTTCGATCTGGTTGGGTCTCATCAGTAGTGCGAATCAGTTCGTCTACCCAACGGGGGGTCGCGAACTCGAGACCTAACAGGCAGAACGCAAGTATGCTACCCACTCGGCCACCGGTGGGCAGCTGATTAAACCATTTTTCATTCACGGATTTAACTCGTCACTCCAGGGATATTCCAGTTTGTCCTCTGGCCTTTTGCTACTATTTTCACATTACGAGTGATCCGGAAGTAGTCAATAATTTAACCGCTTTTCTGTAGATGTATCAGTTGAGATTGATGAGGAGGCTCATGGGAATGATTTTCCCAGCTGACCGTTGTGGAAGTAAAAATTGGCTCACCCCTGTGTTTGTTTAGGATGACAGATTTATGAGTATCTGCTCAGCCTTCGTGCATACAATGAACCCAATACAGAAATGTATATGACCAAAAGAATTATTTTTCTGATCACGGAAGCAATTTGTAAGTACACTGGAGCTTTTCATGTCCGTCACCCCACACGACACAGCTATCCTCCCACCCACCGTAAACACTGTGTGGTGACCAAATTCTGAGCAAAATCCGATCGTGGAACTGGCATGTGTGATGCGTTTTCTCAATCTGTATTGATTTTCTGTTTGCTATTGAACAATATAGTATCCATCTTGATTTATTGCCCAGTGAATGAATCATCGCAAACGAACTTGCTAGCTAATTATCATTAACATATGAGGGCAGTTGTGGACATAGCATATACCATGATCATGAATGTTGCACAGAATAGAAAAAATAACAGGTTGACCACAGGTTGCCTTGTTCGCATCCGATTAGAACGCTAACATAGGTTCAAATTGCTGATTTATGAATTCCTGTTGAATCGATCATCCGGCGATTGGTTTCACAGTTTTGAACTGAACACAATCTGCACTTTTGGAGTCTTCACCCCACAAGTACAGCTGTGAGTTAGGGTGGACTCTATTTAACACAAAGCAGACCACCTATGCAGCCCCCAACTCTCCGAAATTAAAATCAGATAGATTTGGCCATATATCTTGATCTGCTGGCCGAGTGTGACGAATGTTTCATCACCAAACGACATGACATCCCCGGTGTTTATGAAGAGGCGATTATTCGTCTCTTAAAGAAACTAAAACAAGATTTTCCTGTGATAAATTTGAAAAGACAAGAAATTATAGTAACAGTGTACGATTTATGTCCTGGACGATTTCACTGCATCTCAACACGTGCCTATTGCAGATAAATACAATATTTCTGTAGCGTATGACAATGGATTACAAAATAAACACTTGTAAATGGAAGGGAGAAGTGTTACCAAGGTAAAACCAAGGTAATGAACAGTTTGTTTTGTTGACACAGAATTGGTTTCCATCAGTTGTTTACAAGCGCCTCGGCGATCTTGAGCGTTCTGGTGTTATCATTGGTAAAATTCACTCAAAAAGCATTCTGTCGATTCACGAAGTGTTTCGTTCTTAACAAGTGCTTGGCAATCGATGGGTTTGGTGGTTTGTAAGAAGGGTCCGTACGAGTTACCGGCTATGTGGACTTTGACATGATAATCTTACGTTGAACCGAGTTTGGAATGTGTTTATATTTGTCTTTCCTTCTCGTTTGCTTCAACCTTGGTTGCCGTTGAACCGTCATGAACGGGAAGCAGTGTTCTATCTAGTGGATTGTAATCCCTTCGTTGCTGTCGGACTAAATGATCTGACTGGTTATCACTGAGGATCACACCTGAACAAACATGAATTGGCAATCCGGTTCAGCCATGATGTGAGCTGGTTGGCACAGTGGTAACACACACTCCTTTCATGCCCGATGGGTCAGGAGTTCGAATCCCTGACGGGACGGTGGATGTGCACCACTGATGAGCTCTAATAAGAGCGAAACTGGAGTCTAGTGTTTCAAAATGTATGGTAAAATCGATGAACTGAGGATTGTGCGTGAAGGTGAAATCTTTATGCTGAAATTCTAAATGACATCCATGCTTTTGAGATTGCATCCCACCGAGTTTAATGAACTTTTCCCAATTGTTGCCTGCCACTTCAATCTATCAGACAACAATTTGAACAGTTAACTTTGTCTTTCAACTTCTTCAGATAGACTTTGATGAGTTCTAAGGAAAACCGTACGCTGTCAAAATGGAGGATAAAAAACACATGGAAAAGTGATTGACGAGATCAATAACCGATGGTCCAGGGTGATCAGAAGAAACTGATTGAATGATTAGAACTGACTACTTTCCAAGCTTTATCTTCACGCACATTTTATAGTCCTTCCAGTCAACTACACGGTAGATCTGGTGTTCAAATCCCGGACGGAACGGCGGATGTACACTTCTGATAGGCTCTAATAAGAGCGAAACTCGAGTCTAGTGCCTCCGAGTCTTTTTTTAACTGAAAAAGCTGAGGAATATACGTGAAGATGAATTCCGAAGAATGATCAGTTCTATTCAATCAACTAATCAATATCAATGATTCCACAACACTACTCACAAGTAATTGTGAGGTAAATGTGGTTCGCAAGAAACTCAAGGTTCGGCGTTTGGATACATGGCATGACTGCAAAATACGCATTTGACCTTGATTCCGCTTTCAAACGATTGTTGCGTGATCGCACTGCTTACATTTATTTATTAGTATATATCGCTGGATTCCTATATACCACAATATTGACACAGTCAATCCACCTAGAGTTGACCATTTTACTACATGTTTCGTAATCTCCATTGGCCTGTACACGTTCGTTCACACTTTCGGTGACCAACTCGATTCGCCATATATAAGGGCTGCGCAAAAGGTTTCCGGATACACAAAACGTTTTGTTTATTACATAAGAATATGTATTACATCTTCTTGAGGTAACCTCCTCCGGCGTTCATGTACACACGTTTTCCTTGCCCGGTCATCTGCACCTCGTAACCGTGTATTTTGTATCGGGAAACGTTTCGTTCAACCTCCGTATAAACAACAGACACAGTCAGTCGTCTGCTATGTCACATCCCTGAGAAGTCGCACTTTCTAATATCTTCTTCCCACTTTTAGAAAATCCAAACCAACCACTTGCGTAATAACCTAGTTTCTGACTGTGGAATGTCGCATCCCTCAATATATCTCAGTTCCTGATATCTATTAACTTGGTCGTTGATCGATTTTTGGGACGGCCATTGACCATCCACCCTGCAATATCGCACTCAGCCAATGGCGTTTCACCTAGTGTGACGCAAATGTGTCACTTTGTACCGATTGGACAGTCTTTGTGAGGAACACACCAATGTCAACAATAGAACACAATGTCACTTGACTTCAAAATGTGCAAGCGCCAGTCGATCTGAGAGAGGCAGAATGTGTTGGAAATGATGAATCAAACAGATGTAACTCAGAGCTCCGTAACCGAATAACTTAGTATTTCAAGAAAAAAAACTGTTTACAGTGCTATATCCCATGTAACCACTACCGGATTATTTGCGAACAATGAAGCATCTACGGAAAGATATCATCTTTGAAAACAATGAAAACTTCTGGACAGTGAATGAGACGACTGTGGCTTGGTTTACTGCTCTGGGGGATAACCGAAGCGCTCCCGTGGCGGAGAGCGTCATTTGTAATCTGGCTGACACAAAGAATGCATCATCGTGTTTTCAAGGCTTCCAAAAGTTGGTTCCTCTCCTGGTCAGACAAATGTGGTATTCAATCCCAGAAAGTAGGAGACAAGCAACTCATATGCATTACTTTATAGGTTCGTGGGACAGTTGACCCATTGCTATATTTTTCAATGCAGATGAAACAGCTTTGTACCACAGGCAGCTCCCAGAAAGGAAATCAAATCCCCAAAAATAAAACATTTTCTGAATCCAAGAACTCCAAAGAAACAGTCATATTACTACGTTCTGCGACCATGATTAGAGAAAATTTACTATTATTGGCTATTGGAAAATTTCAAACACCCCGATTTCCCAAAAATATAGATAGAAAAGGCCCTCCGTGCATTCATACCACTTCAAACAATCCATGGGTGACGTCTGTGTTTTCTCACAGTAGGCTGTCGCATGTCAACCGCAAGATACGTTTTCAAAGACGCTCTATTTTACTACGTATAGGTAACTCCCCTTGCCTTAAGAAAGCCGATATACGTTGCTCCACAGGAACACGTAAACTGTTAAACGTTAAATGAGACTGCAGAAGCATGAATCCTATCTTTGAGTTGCGAACACAAGATCGAATCAGATTTCTTTGTCTTTTGTGTGACACATGATTTAAGACGTTTCCCGCACAAGCTGTTCTGAGTAGAGAGGAAAGATTTTATTTCATGAGAATTTTGTGGAATTAAATACATGATGTATTTATCGGTTTTGCACAATTTCACTGCAGATGAACTAAAACCGATTAGGTAACCTTAGGCTTTCATTTTGGTTTAAAAATTAGGGTACAGTTTTTTCTACCTCATAATGAAATATTGTGTTGAGAACCACTGCTGCCGCCGTTTCATTGCCTTACAATAAAACGTGGTTTTCCTACTGGGGATTAAGCGTTACTTTGACCAATCATGTATTTGCAACCGTGAACCAATCGTTTTGTGGAACAGAAAATTGGTATGTCCAATCAGATTACTTTGTCAAAAAGTCACACGCACGCACGCACATGAACCAATGCTTTACAAATGAAGAAAAACCGAAGCAACAAATATCGCTCAATTAGCTTCATAGAAAGAACCAATTGTTGAATGACATCTATGCAAGAAATATCTGGAAACGATCTTCTAATAATGTCATAACTATGCTACCATGGCGAAGGAGTAGCTTGATATCTGTGAATCAGATTACTTTAATCTCCGTGATTCTTATTCTACATATTCTAAGCACCCTCATGCAAACATTACAATCTACTCTCTCCGCTTCATTGTGCGCACCGAAAGGCAATCAGTTAGCCTATATTTGTTATATTGAAGAGGAAAATACTCAGATCACACATTTAATGGATCTCACCACAACACTTGGTCCAAGTCCGGAACAGCTGAATGGATCGGCCCATTCGATGCGATTTATTCTCTTTCCATTCTCACAACCATTCTATGAATATTTCACCATTGTAAACTCGTTTTTCAGTTCAACCCATTCGAACACGGCCCCATTCTCTCAACTATTAGCCTTGAAACAGCCGATCGATCGAGAAAAATTGTGCCACAGTGATCAGACACAGTCCATTCCACCGACCACGGGTCTGGATGACGCGATTGGTCATTCGTTCTCGGACAACAATTTCGTTCCCACAAGTCAAACAGTGTGTATTTGTCAACGCACGTTTGAATGGTGTTCCATTTATGTTCAACTAGCACTAACTCCCTATCAGGCCGATGCTCGTACCAGCGAAAATGTGACACACTATCCAGATATTTCTTTGAATGTGATGGAAGTATTTTTTGTCGAGGTCCGTATTGTGGATGTGAATGACAACGCTCCCGAATTTCTCCCCGGACGGTACGAGGTGAGTATCAGTGAACTGGAACAGGTTGGAACCAGGTATCGTTTACCATCGGCCACAGACAAAGATATCGGCAAAAATGCGCAGTTTGTGTATCGTTTGGCGGACGTACAAGCCACCATTCCTGTGTTACATGCAAATCAGAGCGGTACACGCAAAAATGTTTCCTTACAAAACGATTCGCAGTGTTTTGATCTGCAATCCAATATGGATTCCACGGAGTTATTTATCCAGCTTAAACAACCACTTGACCGCGAACAATATGACACGTATTATTTGCTCATCACAGCCGCAGATATGGGGTCCACAATGACGCATACGGGCACTTTGTATGTGACAGTTCACGTGATCGATTCGAACGACAGGAGTCCGGTCTTCGGACGTTCACAGTTTGTGTTCCACGTGTCCGAGCATGCAACTCCTGGCACTGTGATTGGTCAACTGTTTGCCACGGATGACGATTCCGGAGAGAATGGCCGGATCACATTTGATCAACAAACGGAAGCGGGCGAGCACACGGCCCGACATGGTCCGGCAGTGAATCGATTTCGAGTGGAACCAAACTCTGGCCAGATTCGGGTACACAGTCCGTTGGATCGGGAACAATCGAAAAGTGTTCACTTTCGTGTGATCGCCCGGGATCATGGACAACCGGTGCGGATGACCACCGCAAATGTGGTCATTATTCTACACGATGTGAATGATAACAATCCGATCATACGAATTTGGGGTCAGACTGAGGTGAGTGATCCGTTTGGATTGCTCTCAAACGTATCCATTCTGAACTATTCCCTGCTCTCTTCGCCCGGTCTGAGTCATGCTGTTGGTCTTTCGGTGAGTGAAGCGTTACAACCGAACTCGGTGATTGCTTTCATGGACGTATACGATCCGGACTTTCAGGAAAACGGAGATGTTTCGTGCACTGTACAGCACGCATCGTTTGATTTGCAACTGATCACGGACTACACGAAACTACTCACGACAACTCGAAATCTGGATCGTCAGTCCTACGGGTCTGATCCGACCACGAGTAACCAGATCCTCATGGGAACCAAAGCTTATCAGATTGTGCACACGGGATATTTGGATCGTGAATCTACCCCCGGGCTACACGTCCCGATTGTGTGCCGGGATAACGGCAGTCAGATTGTTCGTTCCACAACCACACTTTTGTACATTCAAGTTTCCGATATCAATGATAATGTGCCCATTTTTAATCTACCTGTTGTATATGAACCGGCCGTTTGGTCCAATAAACAACAATACGAACAATGGTTCCTTCAAACTCTGCCACATTCCAATGACAGTACCGGAATGAATGAGAGTCCCATGCGGATGGAGATTGTTCTGCCCGAATCGTGTTTCCCCAATCGAACAATTGTGCATTTCTCCGCGCAAGATCCAGACGACAGTTTGAACGGATTGCTTGAGTACGAATTGTTCATGGATTCCAGTACACAGAATCTGGGTTCGGACGTTCGGAAAGAAACGGTCAATTTGTTGAAAATTCATACCAAAACTGGGCACGTGTCCGTGCAACTACCTGTGTGGTACGCAAGTAGCAGCAGCAGCATGTGGTATCATTACACGGTACGTGTGTCCGATCACGGACAGCCACCGCTTAGCGCCACACTTCCATTTTCTGTTCGAGTACAGTTTGTGAATAAAGAAGCACCTCGATTGGAAGTGTATTCGGATCAGGGAGTAGTGTTCGGACAAACTAACCCGATCGGACAGACAAGCATTGATCTGTGGCTTGGTGAACAT